CTGCTCATAAGGGATCCCATCTGCAGTGGATAAGACAAAAAATTGAATTTTCAGTCTCTCCTACAGTAGGAGACTTCTTTAGTCAGCCCAATTCTTTATGCACATGGAATTAAGAGTCGCAGAATCGTAGAATGGCCTAGGCTGGAAGGGACCTTAGAGATCATCTAGTCCAACCTCCCTGTCATGGGCAGGGACACCACCTCTCGACTAGACCAGGCAACACATGGGGACCGAGCGGGAAGAAGTGACAAAGTTCTGCTGCTGCTGGCGAGTATGCTTGAACCCAGGTGGATTCCTGTTGAGCATCTACTGTGTTGCTCTGAGCTACTGGATAGTACCTAGAGGTCTGTCCACTTTTGACAGCCACTTGGATTGAGCTTCTTCCAGTTTAAAAGGGAAAAACAATAGAGGGTATGTTCACACTACTGAAATTAAAAGTGAGAATGAGAACCTCAGGTTCTCTTTGCTAATGCAAAGAAGCAGGCTCTTGAACTGGATTCCTAACATAAATTGTGTCCCAACATTCCTGTGGAGCAGATAACTAAAAATAAGATAAAGGGACCTCTGATTTGGTATTTATTTTTGCTTATTAGCAGGAATTTGGGGTGAGTGTGGTCAGATTTGGACGGTCAGTGGATAGTGAGTGGTAGATGGTCTTTCCTTGCAAAATGTGCACGTGAGGGGATACACAGATCAGTGCCTACACAACTTGCCACAGGGTACTGAAGTAGGCTTTAAAATACAGTTTATTGTTACGTGACGTATATTAACACAGGCAAAAAACATCATTTGAATCATATTTTTAAATCATTCTGAATTGGCCGTGGAATAACAGCAGATGAGAGAAGTAGTAGAATCATAGAATCATTCAGGTTGGAAAAGAGCTCTAAGATCAAGTCCAACTGTCAACCCAACACCACCATGGGCACTAAACCATGTCCCCAAGTGCCATGTCTACATGGATTTGAACTCCTCCAGGGATGGGGACTCCAGCACTTCCCTGGGCAGCCTGTTCCAATGGTTCACTACTCTCTCAGTAAAGAATTTTTTTCTTAATATCCAATCTAAACCTCCCCCGACACAACTTGAGCCCAATTTCTCTCATCCCGTTACTTGGGAAAAGAGACCCCACCTTGCTGCAATCTACATTCAGGTAGTTCCAGAAAGCAAGGAGGTCTCCCCTCAGCCTCCTCCTCTCCACGTTGAACAACCCCAATTCCCTCAGCAGCAACTCATCACACTCATTCTCCAGACCCTTCCCCAGCTGTGGCCTCACCAGTGCCGAGGGGGTCCGATCCCTGCCCTGCTCCTGCTGGGCCACCCCACTGCTGACCCAGAACTTCCTCAGTGTCTGGCACAGGAATATTCTTCTTTGTTACGTGGTTGTGGAAATTTTCACTTCAGATGGGACATGCTTCCATAAACCTGGGAATGGGCAAGGTGCCATTTGGTGTAAACGCTGAAGAAAAGGTTAAGATAGAGTTGAGGCAACCGGATGCACCAACAAGGCAAAAATAAATGGTAGAAGTGTTGCCCTTAATCTAATCTGAACCCAACTGAAGGCCAGATGAGTAAGAATGGTGGGAAAAGAAACAAAGTACCTGAGGATGCTTTGATATATCAGTTGGGCTGCTCCTGCTGTTGCTTCTGGTAAGTCAGAAAAACACATCAAGCTTTAAATTGAGTAATACCTATGGCTAATGGCAATTATTATCTGGGACATAAAACTGAAAAGATCTCTGGCTTCCCTTGTGCGGGTCATCAAATGCTTCAAGCCATAAAATAGTCTGTAGGAACCTCAAAAAGCATTCCTCGCTGTAATAGCTTTGCAGATGTTTCGGGGCTGCTCTTTTGATTACTATTAAAAGCTCAAAATCAGGAAAGTCAGTCTGATTGTGGTGGTTTTGGATGTTTTCTTTAAAAAGAAGGGGTGAGCTGAAGAGCAAGGATAGCTTGCCAGTTCCACAAATGAGCAAAACAAATGTAAATAACTCTGTTTCGCCTGTTTTCAATTAAAAACAGAGTTCCTTTCCCTCTGGTGAGATTTCTGGGATAGGAGAGGGGTTATGCATTTTTAGAGCAGTGTTGCAATGCATAAGTGTTTGGGTGGGTGGGTGGGTGTTGTCTTTTTACTTGAATTAATTTCTGAGCATTTAAATATGAAAAGGATCGGGATATCACGCTGTCCTCTCGTGAGCTGTGACACCCTGGCTGGTTACTCAGTCCCCCTAAATTGCACTTTAGTCAAAATACAGTCAGATGGGCATCTGGGTGCAGTATGGAGAAAAATAAACGGTATCTACCTCTTGTCTTAGTAGCTCATTCGTAGTTTTTAGTCCTTTCACAATCTGCGTCTGCCCAGGTTTGCGTTGGATTTGCAGTCATGAGTTCGTGTGTCCCCTCTGCTGGCATAGAGCCCTCTAGTGGTGATCGTTTACGTTAGTGTAATTAAAAAAATAATAAAATTACAGTAGTCCCTACCGAAAAGTAGCTTGTTAAAGCAAGCAGGTTGGAGTCTCCACATGTTGATGGTGGTAAGAATCGTAACAGAGCTAGTCCATCGCCATCAATGCTTGTGTTGCTTTTTTTTATTTAAAAAAATACATATCAAACTTCTAACACGCTGTTGTTCTCTTTCTAGTGACAGAAGCGTGCTGGAAGAAGAACTTCAGAAGCTCATTGAAGCTTTGATTGAGAATTTTCTTGAACCTGATAAGAACGGACTGATCTGGCGCTCTGCTTAGCTCTCCGGTGACCGGCGTTCGACGCGGCCGCCTGCGCCGCGTCACGTGAAACGAAGGAACCAAGACCAGAACTCGGTTTAATATATATGTGTGTGTGTTAAAACAGCTACGTTTTTATTCTATAAAGAAGCAGCATTCTTTTGTCAGGCTTTTCTCCAAAGTCCGGGCTAGGAAATTGGGATGAGAAGACGAAGTGAGAGGAAGGGATGGAATTGATTCAAATTTTCCGCCCGTGTGACCAAAAGACTAATTAACCCGCACCGATACAAATGGAGGTTTAAGCTGATCTTAGCCAGTAGATCTTGTCTTAAGCTAATTTCAGGTACCCAATACCTTTCTGCCTGGAAAGGTTTTTAAAAACCAGGTAGTCGTGGCATTTGAAGGAAGGAATCGCTCCAAACTGACAAAAAAGCCTGCTTCTTCCTAGCTGTTGTGCCTGAGTGTAGGTATCGCTGTTCCAGGTCTTAATTTCCAAAAATGTTGAAGTAGAGTCCAGTGCGCAGCATTTCTTGTTTAGGCGAGTTATTCCGGGTGACCTTTTCCAGCTACTTAAGTATCCTTCTGTTGTTAAAGGTGCTCTTGGTGCATTTTACCTTCCCTGTGTGTATCTTAAAATATTTACTTGGCAGTGAAACAATAGTGGCGAGACGTGCAGGCCCGCTTGCAGCCCGGGCTTTGAATTACCTTGTGCCTTTCCAAGGCTTCCGAGGGAGCAGAAACTTGTTCATTCCTTGGTTAAAGTGCCCATCCTGACTTACCGTCGGCTTTGTGACCATTTTTTGTCCCACGTCTTTGAAGGGGCTTAAGCTTTTTTTTTTTCCTTTTTTTTTTTAATGAGGATTTCAGAAATTTGGTAACTTTGTATGAAGATTCCAGTTAGCGATTTTTTTTGATGGCTCGAATTCCTGCTCTCTATTTAAAAATATGTACAAATAAATAAAGAAGAAAGTGGAGGTGAGACACTGACACCACTGATTAAATTTTTTAGATATTAAATATTTTTTTTAATGTTTTGTAAACCAATTTCTGTTAGAATAGCAATCTGCAAATGCTGCTATTCTTTATCTTTTTTGGGGAAAATTTTAACAACTTCCAATTATCTGTTTCCTGCCTTTGCTTGAGTGATGCTACTAATCACTTTCTCCAAAATAATAGACTGATACAGAAATTCTCGTGAAGACATGTAGGATTTAAGAAAAATAAAAGCCCTGGCTTTGGCACAGGAAAGCTGCGGAAGCTACTTTAACCAAAGCAACCCTTAAAGAAAAACTATATATTGATTAACCAAGAATAATACTCGTTAATGTGCTAATAACTGCTAACATAAGCCTTCAGGATGAAGTCAGTGATGTTCTGGACATCTCCCCGCTATCACTTTACAGTCATTAAATAAAAGATACAGGTAAAACTGAACACTTAAGCGCTGTATTGAAGGTTACCCGAGAAGAACTGCAGATGCACTTAAGTTCAAGCCGTTGTTTTGCCACTATTGTTAAATCTCTTTGTCCTCCATCTGATTATACCCTTCCAGCTCCGTGATGCCCTAGGATTGCGCCGAAGTGGTTTTGTATGTCTTGCATCTAGATGGCTTTAAAGAGCACCAAGGTGTCCGTGTCCGTGCAGGTATTGGGGTATTTCGTGCTGACAGAAGCTTTGCACTATAACCGTGGAGAAGTATTTTGCTGTATATGAATGTACTTTTACCACAGAAGGTCTGTGTTGCACAAATTCGTATCTGTCACTGATATTTATTTTTTTTTTGTTTAGGAGAAAAGATTTCCAAATTGTTCTGCGATTGAGCAAAATGTATCTAACGCCAAAAAACTTTTTTTTTTGAGGTGTACATTTGACTGATATGAGGAAAGTGGGTGAAAACACTTACTCTGAGGATAAACTCGTGTTATCGTACAGCTCTGAGTAGGTCTCGGAAGGTGTGAAGGCATTTCTGACCGCTGCTTTGACTCCAGTTTTCACAGAAAGGGGCAGCTCTGGATCCCCACCGCGCTGAGTTTGAAGGAGGCCTCGCCGTTTGTCCCACTGGCAGCACATTAATGCCTTCGGTGGTTTGAATTTTGGTTCTGAATAGCCTCCTGGTAGTACAAAAGAGAACAAGTGACTCGGGCCATGCTTTTGAACAAAGGGGAACGCTGTACAGAGCGTAGCGCGCGTGACGAGGCCGGCTCTGCGTCTGTTGTAGTGGTTAGCGTTAAGAGTTACGTCTGGTGAGTTGTGCTGGTGCTCCTACAAAGAGCAGGAATCTGCAATTTCCCAGGGAGATCTGCTTTATGTCTGTAAGCAAGTGTTACAAACGCAGTGTGGAAGAAACTCGTGACTGTGTTTTCCAAATCAGCATTCTTAGAAGTTGGTAACTGTTCATAGTCTGTTTATCTTTAGTAAAATAATAATTAAAAAAAAAACCACACAAAAAAAAACCCACCCAGATGCAGGGAATGAAGCATCTGGGATTCTTCTCATTGATAGATTTGAACAGTAAGTTCTAGACGTAGTAGTGCTTTTGGAATGACAGCAACAGCAAAATGTGTTGAATGTATTTTAAGGGTGTAATAACTATTGCTGGGTTTAAACTGCTGCTACCATTGTTTCCCTACTGTATTTGAACTGTTTGATATATTTATACTGTTCCATTTGTGGAACTCCTTTATCTCCTCCCTCTGATCTTGCTTCCCTAAGTTCTACTACTGTGAAGGACCGTAATTTCCTTATTTCATCACCCTGTACCTTTGTTATACATCGAGTTAGGGTTTGCTGGGCTTGTGCCCAACAGTCTTTGGGTTGTCAGCTGTTCTTTACTGCTCCTCTGATAAGAACAAAGGCTTTTCAAACTTGACTAGGAAGCAGATAATAGATCAAAGTACGCTGTGGATGTTGTTTACTAAGCGCTTCCAGTGAAAATACGTCTTTTCAAACGTTGCTCTACAGCAAGTCATTGGCTTAAACTGTAATCGTGCAGCCAATGATTTGGGTTTTAGGAGGGCATGGGTTTGTCTTTCCCCTTTTTGATGTGACAGGCTTAATCTCTGTCTCATTCATGGTAAAGTTTTGGTTCCGTGGGTCTAGGACAGGACCTCTATAAGTACAGGAGACTTGCCAGGCAGGGTCCGATGTCTGTGATACACAGCTTGTAGCTGAATTTTTAAATTCTAGTTGGGATACAGCGTCCAGTGTGTGATCCTGGAAGGAGCCAGGTTTCCCTTGGGCCGCAGGAGAGCTGGGATCTTGCCTGAGTAGGTCTCCAAATTCACTTTATTTTAAATACTCAGCTCTTCCTTTGAAGGAGGGGAAATACATACTTGTGTCATCCGCAGAGGAAACTAAGAACTAAAATTCTGTGTTCGTTTCGGGCCTTGAGGTGAGGTCCAACAGGCAGTACAGGCTGCCTGGGGCTCCCTTACCTGCCTTGGGCAGTTCTTGACTGATCTCAAGCCGTTGCTGTATCTTTGCTTGGAGGATACCCATGTGTTGAAGTTTCTGGCTTTACTCCCTGATGTAGCAGCGCTCAGGTAGTGTACCCTCTCTGTCTGGCTTCTGAAGTATTAAGGATTTTGGCTCCTGTTTTATTAAAAGGAGAGTGATTGTGTGAAACGATGAGAGTGTTGAGGGAGAAGCCAGAAGGTGAAGTGATTTCTCCTGTCCTTTGGGGAGGGTGGAATGCATGGGCTGCTTTAGAAAGCACTTAACTGTTCTCTCTAATTTTAAAACTGAAGTGATAACTATTATTTTGTTTTCCCTCTCCCTTTTTGCCCTCTTCTCTCCACAGGTAAGAGGGAGGAGTGGCTCTTTGCATGGTGATGCCTGGATGGTTAAAATCCATCCTGACACCCAGGACATTTCCCATCCTTCCCTCACTCCCTTTGTGTGCTACAGAGTAGCTTTGTACAGGGTGACTGAAATATCTGAAGTTGCATTGTTCTCCTTGTCTAGAATCTGGGGAAGTTCTGGATCTGTACTGTCGTTTACCCAATGTCTGTTCTTCTGTAAAACTAGGGCATATTACAAATACAGAGTGAGAATTTGCACTTTTCTGAAGAATTTCTGTGTGTATTGCTACATGGATTTAGCTGACTGAAGTGTTCTAAGTAATAAAACATTCTCTTCGTAGTAGCAATCCTTCATGTTTCTCTGGTCTTCTTTAGGCAAACACTGTTGCCTCCCAGAACAGAGCTGGTGCAGAACTGTCCCCGACTTCGTGTAGGAGGAACATTCACCGTGTGCTCCTCGGGTACCCCAGAACAACAGCGTTTCCTGAAGCTCTTCAGAACCACCACCCTGGAGCAGGATCTTCGGGGCTGTAGGACAGGCAGGCAGAAGCCTGAGGAAAGGCTGGAATTTTGAGGGTTTGATTTCACCTAAAAGAAAGGTTTCAGCTCCATACAGCAAGTCCCACCAGGAAGGTTGGGGAGGGAAGGGGACAACCCTCTTGCTGGACTCTTTCTCTCCTCAGCATCTCTTGTGCTGAGGATTTCCTGGGGGTTTGACGCTCACTGTTAAACCCAGAGACAAGAGCTGATTTCACCCCAGCTTGGTTTTGATACTTTAAGGTTAATTTAAAGCATCGTTAAGGTTGCTACGATTCCTGGGGGTACAGCAGCATGGCCGGGAGTGTTCCCATATCCCTTCAGCGAGGACTGCAGGCTTCATCTACATGTAAACTGGGGGTTTTGATTTGTTTGTTTTTTAGTTTTGGAGTGTTTTTTGTTTTGGGGTTTTTTTTTCCTTCTTGCCAAGCCTGAAGAGGCCCCCGAGCTCCATCTCAGAGCCCCTTTTCCACCATTCCCTTGGAATTACCCCATCGAAGCTTCCAGCCCGGTTGTGAAATGCCAAAACAGCAGCATGGGGGGTGCAGTAGGGGGTTCATGGGGGCTGGGAGGAGGCGAGGGAGAGCAGCAGCGTCATCCACGGACACGGATGGGGAGGTGGGGGTCCCCCGGGGCTGTAATTGCAGGAACGGGCGCTGGATGTCACCCCCGGGCCGTGCAGGG